GAGCAAGTTTAATTAGGAGCCGGAGATACGTTAACTTAATATAGTTTTCAGTTATTCGCCTTGAGAGTTTTTTCTTTCTTGTTCCGGTTTTGGTAAAAGTGATCTGCGGGAAGAGTTTATCGGTCCAGATTTTATTATTTATATTAATTAACAAGAAATTATTTATATTAATTAACAAGAAATTATTTATATTAATTAACAAGAAATTATTTATTTTATCTTTATATATCAAAATTAAATAAGTGAGCTAACTATCAAATTTATTAAAAGTAGATTTATTTGAGTTTACTATTTCAAAACTCATTAATTATACTATTTTAGATGTGGGAGCAAGTCCAATCGTAAAATCTTTTATGTTATAGACTGAGTAAACATCTTTGAGTAATGGAACTCCAATAAGCATAATATGATCAGAATCTCCTCCAAAATCTGCACTTTGAACTGCAGAAAAACAAATACCTAAATCATCCCTCTTCCCGGCGATCAGGTTTGAATGATAATTGATTCCATTAAAAATATATTCTACTCTATCAGTTGAGTTACAGGGCACAGTATATATACATGTAACATCATTACAAAACTGGTTTGCTCCGTTAATTAAATTATGAAAGGCCTCAGCATTACCAGATGACGTATATACGTAATCTGAGGAAGGATCAAATATTGCAGATTTTATCTTGTATTTAAGTTTTTTACCATTAATAGAAATGTCGTCCATATTAGTCATCCAATGCACGTATGTACCATTAATGGTAGATACTTTGTTGTAACTAAGTTTTCCGGTGAATTTAGTTGTGTCAATGTCGCCAAGAGTTAATGTTGCCCCGTCACCATTACGACTTATATGAAAACCAAAATAAGGATTTTTTACGGCCTTTTGTTTAACCATTTTTGAAAAAGGTGATGTAGTATTGAAATTACTAACACTATCAAAACCCAAACCCAATACACCATCAAATGGTTCAATAGTAAAAAATCCATTTTCAGAAAGTGTAAGACCGAATATTTGATCAGATTTTATCCCGCCTGCTAAAAGAATATCTTCTCCAAGAGTACCATTGACTGTTGTAGCACCGAAATGAATTATGAATTTATTACCGATGTTTCTAAATGTTTTCGATAAACTTGAGTTAAATTGATTGTGGCCACACTCACAAGGCGGTGAAGGAACCTAATGTTTAGAATAATATAGGTTAAAAAATATTTTTCATTGCTAAAATAATGTAAATCTTTGTAATTATTAAAGAACAATTACTAACAAAAAGATCAGAAGTTGAAAAGTCGAACCAAACGATAAATTTTTGACCACCTATAACGACCTGTCCATAGTATTCTGATGATAAATTAATGCTTTTAGATCTTTTTTCAGCAGATGCGAGTTTATTAAGAGCATATTGATCAGAGCTACGTGTTAAATATTTGTATCTAAACATAAGATAATCTCTATTGAATTGAATAATTTCATCCATAGAATGTTTAGGGGCATTTTTGATCAGAGTGATAGAATTGGGTTTTGAGGTAACAGGAATAACATTTATTATCATGGAGATGGCAATTAAAAGCCAAATAAAAACATAGAACTCCATTTTACGAGAATTATAAGGCAAAAACATTTCATGAATTAAAAGAATGTCAATAATACGAATAAGAAGTCAAAAATATCTACCTACTGTATTTATACTATTACAGTATTAAAATTATAGTTTTTATC